ACGGAGCGTTATGCGGTATCAACACATTCTTTCGAGATATATGTGCAAGATCTCTGAGAAGAAGTAATGTAGAGGTTTTGAAAGGCAACATTCCTGAGATACTTTGCGCATTGGAAAAGGTATTTCCACCTTCATTTTTTGATGTGATGGAACATTTACCTATTCATTTACCAGATGAGGCGATATACGGTGGTCCAGTACAGTTTAGATGGATGTATCCATTTGAGCGATTTTTTTTCCATCTGAAGAAGAAGGCTAAAAACAAAGCAGCAGTGGAAGGATCTATCGTCAAACAGTATTTGTAAGAGGAGATCTCCTACTTCAGTTCTTTCTATTTTGAATCTCATATTCAGACGAAGAAAAGGAGGGCTATCAACGAAGACGATAGAAGTTATCTCTACCACTATGATTCATGTTTCGGACTTATTCCCGAAAGTTTTCAGCCTACTGGACGCCTCGGAGGCAAATCTGAAGAATATTGGTTAACTGTACAAGAGTACAATCACATCGCCACATATATACTGTTGAATTGTGAAGAACTTAAGCCATACGAAAGGTACACATTTTTTAATCTTAGATGTGATTAGAAATTAATTAATTACATATTTGCTAACAACATATTTTTAAGACTTTTTGACGAGGATGTTTTGGCAACATATCCTAACCTAAGTGGGGAGGAACTTGAAGGAATGAAGGAACAACATTATGCATCTTGGCTTCGAGACTACGTAAGTATTCTAGCTATATATATATATGTACGTGTATGTATTTGTGTATTAATTTAATTTTTATGCGCAGATTCAGTCATGCAGTGATAGAATTCCGGCATGGATCAGAGATATATCACATGGACCTGGAAGAAAAGTCATTTGCTAGTCGATAATGTTCACCCGAGGATACACGTTTCACACTTACGATCATGGAAAACATAAATCCACGTTCAATTACGGAGTTTGTATAAAAAGCGGGTCATCGGAAGATCCTGATTTCTTTGGGGTTCTTCGTCAGATTTTCCAACTCCAGTATCCAGCCAGGATTAGTCGGGTTGAAAACAATCATATTCAGATGTGATTGGTTTGATACAACGTCGGGACGCGGCTCACGGAAAAATCGATGGGGAGGTATTGACATAAACCCGAAACTAGGGGTGGGCGTTTCGGGTTTCGGTTCGGTATTCAAGCGGTTCGGTTCGGGAACGGTATTTTCGGTTTTATAAAAAGTGTACCAAACTAGAACCGAATGTTAAACGGTTCGGTTCGGTTCGGTTTTAGTATCGGTTCGGTTCGAAACGGTACCATTATATGAATACCAAATAAGTATCGAACTATACTATTTACACATATATTAGTGGAATATTCGAATTTTGGTTCGGTATTCATACGGTTCGGTTCGAATCCCCATGAACAGCGACTTCTTAGCTCTGGGATCCAACTTTGATTCCTTCACATGATAGTAAACAACCGAACCGAATATGTGCAGAGAATCATAATCATGAGCAGGTTTGCCATACCAAACTTCCATGGGTGTCTTGTCTCCAATTGCAGCAGATGGTAACCGGTTGATGAGATGACTCGCATACGTCACAGCCTCAGCCCAGAACCGTTTGTCTAATCCAGCATTAGACAACATACACCGAATCTTCTCCAGTAAAGTTCGATTCATGCGTTCTGCCACCCCATTCTGTTGCGGATTATTTCGAACGGTGAAGTGTCTGACAATGCCATCATCTTGACAGATTTTTGCTAGTGGATCACTCATGTACTCTCTAACTTAAAATAATTCATTTTTAAATATTATATTTTAATATTTTATTTCAATTTTAAATATTTTTTTATTTTTCAGTCGGTCTCTCCAAATAAGGGCCGCATCTATGGATTAGGAGGATTGCAGCGAGATTTGTTCGATGATTTCGGTGCACCAATTCCTCCTGGCATGCAGAGTGATCTCGAACAACAACGACGGATCGAGACACTCGAGCAACAACTTGCGGCGACGAGGCAACAAGTGACTAACCTCGAACAAATCGTTGAGCTTATGCGGGGTGATCGACCACTCCACAATACGCCGCCAAGCTCGGGAGCAGAAACAACGGCACGTAATCTCGGGACTAGCGAAGACGAAGAAACCCGTAGTGCCAATTAATTATTATTACTGAAACTATTTTATATTTTTGTAATATTCGAACAATTGTTTTTTAATATTTTCATTTTATTTTGGTTTTATTATATATATATATTTATTTATATATATTAATATATATTTATTAATATATAATATATATAAATATAAATAAAAAAATAAAATAAATATTTAAAAATAAAATAAATATTTTTATTTATTTTATTTTTAAATATTTATTTTATTTTTTTATTTATTTTTTTTGTGTTTTCCAACGGCAATTCCAACGGACCCCCGTTGGAAATAATTCTAAATTCCAACGGACATCCGTTGTAAATACCGTTGTAACATTTCGACGGCGTTTCCAACGGATATTCTAACGGATATCCGTGGCAAATACCGTTGTAAATCCGTTGGAAAATTTCTAACGGATATTCTAACGGTCCCGTCGGAAAATAGCCACGGATGTCCGTTGGAATTTCCGTTGATATATACCGACGAACAAATCCGTTGGAATTCCGTTGCAAATATGCCACGGAAAAACCGTTGGAAATCCGTTGAAATATTCCAACGGATGAGTGCGTCGGAATTCCGTTTGGAATTTGCCACGGAATTCCAACGGACACCGATTTCTAACGACGATATTCCAACGGATTTATCCGTTGGAAATCCGTTGGAAAAGTTGAATTCCAACGGATTTTCGGCCCTTTCCAACGGATCTGCCGGTTGGAATTTAATGTTTTTTTTGTAGTGATCCTTCCGTTCACATCGACTAGCAAAGCGTCGGCCACATTATCCACCGTAGTTCCGTACTTCCTCATCAAGTTTCCGTACCCAGCCCCGCTGATGTGTCCTCCGGCTCCTAAAGTAGTGCAAATTCCCGCCGGAAACGCCAGCGTTTTGCTGGCGTTAGCGATTTTGGCATAGAGTTCTCCCATGGTGGCGCCTGCTTGCACCCAAGCTGTCTTGCTGGGCACGTCAAGATCGATAGAACGAAGGTTGAACATGTCGAGGATGACGAAGGGGACGGACGAGATGTAAGAAAGGCCCTCGTAGTCGTGGCCTCCGCTACGTATACGGATCTGAAGACCGCTATTCTTTGCGCACACCACTGTCGCCTGTACATGAGATTCATGTTTGGCAGCGATGATGGCTAAGGGTTTAGTGAACCTAGGGTTTAAGAACCTCTGATTTTTCGTGTACGACACGAAAACAGAATCAAATGATGGGTTTTCTGGAGTGTAGATCGCTCCAGAGATTGGAGAAGAAGGGTTTGCTTGGGAGGAAGGCATCTAAGAAAACTCTCAACATCAGGACTCACAGCTGATGCATGTGAAGCCGAAACAAGAAGAGAAACAATAATAAAAGAGATGAAACCTTTCATTTTGTGGAATGTAATGAATCTTTTTTTAATTATTATTTTGGTGAGTCTGAGTTGTGTGGGTGTATGTATATATATAGAGAGCGAGATGAAGATTTTTAGTTGATTATTAATTTATGATTTTTTCTATTTAAATGAGATTTTTTCTATTTCAATAAAATTTTAAAAGATTTTAATACATTGATAATGGAATTAGGATATTTTTATCACTATTAATTTTTTTTTATGTAGTGCATGTAATTTGGAGATTTTAAATGGTCAGAGATCAATCTAACAATATTCAAAAAATAGCTAATATAGAAATATATATGATTTTGTATGCTATTATAAAAATAATAATGCTTTTTTATTGATATTAAAGTTAATAACAAATCGAGTTTTTTGAATGAAATTCTACCTTGGGATTTCATTTAGGATCTCTTGGGTTTTTAATGAAACAATTTTTAAGGTTGAAATTAATCTAAATTATAATTCAAAACTATGATTTTATATAAGTCTTGGGTTTGATAAAGTTTCATACGAAATGCATAGAGTTATCGAATAAAACCTAAGATTGGATGGTTCAACCAGTAAGGAATAGAACAAATATTCTTTTCAATTCAGAGGTTCGAATCTCCATTTGGAGAAAGATATTCATCGGGTTTTTCCGGTTCTCTGACAAATATAGTTAGACAAAAGCCCGATGACATTTCGAATTATTAAAAAAAAAAACATCTAAGTTCTCGATTTTCAAGTAGCGGTAATAGTAACTCAGCTTCCTCGAACATAAAGGGATCCCAAGTATCGTATAGGTAATATACCTTCCGATCGGCCTGTTTGCAACAAGATTTCGAGAGATTAATGGATAATCTTAAAAGGCCGCCGAAAGCCCTGCAACGCATTCATTACATCTTTTATAGAGACCGGATCACTCCTACAAATTTTTCAAACCGAAACCATAGGTGTAATAATATAAAACACCAATCACAATTTCTCGAAATCAAGAAAGACACGCATTAAGGTTAATGAGAGACATTCATCTTTGTTACGTTAATAGCCTTTTTATACCAAAAAAAACAACTAACTAAATCCTAAAATAATGGCATCGTATCTCACCCATTTCTAAATCTCAAGCACAATAATAGATCCAACATTGACCAAATAAAATAATCAAATAAAAATAAAAATAATCAATTGCCGGTATTATGGAGAGAACATTCATGAATATGACAAATGGATGAGGGGAGAGGGGGTGTCCCTGTCCTGGGCCCGTTTATCTTTTAAAATGCCCGGTCGGTCATCCTTCCATATTCCATTAATATTGATTGAGAATTATGCGGATGTTACGCAGCTCATGCCCACACGGTCCCATAGCTCAATATTTTAAAATATTATAAAGAGGCTATATATATATATGCATCCATGCCTCATAAATATGGCTATGCCGTACCAAATCATAAAGATATTGAAAAGACATAGTAATCGGATTTATTCACCGAGATCATGGGTCCCATCTTTAACCTCAAGAATCGGTGAGAGATCGAAACGGAGGAATACTTTGTTCGTCTCTGAAGAAATCTGTAGGATCAACGCTTGTCTTAACTCTGACCAGTCTGTCGAAGTTGTTCTTGAAGTACTTAACTCCCCAAACCCTAGCTTCCTCGTACTTTGTCCTGATCCCTACGTACTTCCCCAGTTCCAGGTCCCTGAAGTTTACGTAAGCTCCTCTCGGAGATTTCGAAACGTACGGAGTCATTAAATCGTATACACTCTCGACCCATTTGACGTATTTCTCTGTCTCTGTCTTGTTCTTCGTTCCCTCCCCTCCGTCTCTCCAGTAAGCTAAGTACTGAATCTCGTAGATATTACCTGTCCGATGAGGGAAAGGGCACTCATTCTCTATTAGAGTTATTAGAATATAACTATAGTTAAATGTTAGTTTGGTTAAATTAGTTTGGTTAGGTTAGGGTTTATTAAGTGTTTCTTTTCTTCCTCTTGTATTTAAGCAGTTGCCCTTTGATCAATGGAAATACAACAACAAACATTTTCAGAAACTTTTCTCTTTATTTTATAAAATAAAGAGAAAAGTTTCTGAAAATGTTTGTTGTTGTATTTCCATTGATCAAAGGGCAACTGCTTAAATACAAGAGGAAGAAAAGAAACACTTAATAAACCCTAACCTAACCAAACTAATTTAACCAAACTAACATTTAACTATAGTTATATTCTAATAACTCTAATACATTTTTGGACCAAATGAGTCTCATCGTCAGTCTCGTTCCCTTCTCTCTGGTTCTCTCTACTCGTCGACCGTGTTGGCACAACATTCTGATCTCTGCTCAAGTTTTCGAAAAGGGATCCAAGACGATTCTTTGTGTCAACCCATTTCATGGTCCACCATGGATTTTACCTTGGTGTTTTTCATCTTTGTCTCTCAACCCTCACTGTCTCGATCTCTTGTCTGCCTCTCTCGGTAGATCATTTTTTTTTTCTTCTTCTTCTTTCATTATCGACATCTCTTTGGGCCTATGGCCCATGACTCATCTAGTCATATAATACACGATTTGGAATCCATATATTTCTCGGAAGAACTTTCCGATTCGTTTATCCGATCGATGTCCATCCGATCGTTATTTTCAACAGCGTTTATTGAAGCTATTTGCTTCTTTATTTTTGGAAAGTTCACATCATGAAGATATTCTTGACATTTGGAGATTTGGAGATTGAAGATTCAAGTTTGAAGATTGAAGACTTCAAAATCTGAAGATTGAAGAATTTAAGTTTTTTTTTTAATGTCAAATCTATTCCTTCTTTACAGAAGTTCTAGATTTGCGGGGGCGTATTAGAGTTATTAGAATATAACTATAGTTAAATGTTAGTTTGGTTAAATTAGTTTGGTTAGGTTAGGGTTTATTAAGTGTTTCTTTTCTTCCTCTTGTATTTAAGCAGTTGCCCTTTGATCAATGGAAATACAACAACAAACATTTTCAGAAACTTTTCTCTTTATTTTATAAAATAAAGAGAAAAGTTTCTGAAAATGTTTGTTGTTGTATTTCCATTGATCAAAGGGACACTGCTTAAATACAAGAGGAAGAAAAGAAACACTTAATAAACCCTAACCTAACCAAACTAATTTAACCAAACTAACATTTAACTATAGTTATATTCTAATAACTCTAATACGCCCCCGCAAATCTAGAACTTCTGTAAAGAAGGAATAGATTTGACATTAAAAAAAAAACTTAAATTCTTCAATCTTCAGATTTTGAAGTCTTCAATCTTCAAACTTGAATCTTCAATCTCCAAATCTCCAAATGTCAAGAATATCTTCATGATGTGAACTTTCCAAAAATAAAGAAGCAAATAGCTTCAATAAACGCTGTTGAAAATAACGATCGGATGGACATCGATCGGATAAACGAATCGGAAAGTTCTTCCGAGAAATATATGGATTCCAAATCGTGTATTATATGACTAGATGAGTCATGGGCCATAGGCCCAAAGAGATGTCGATAATGAAAGAAGAAGAAGAAAAAAAAAATGATCTACCGAGAGAGGCAGACAAGAGATCGAGACAGTGAGGGTTGAGAGACAAAGATGAAAAACACCAAGGTAAAATCCATGGTGGACCATGAAATGGGTTGACACAAAGAATCGTCTTGGATCCCTTTTCGAAAACTTGAGCAGAGATCAGAATGTTGTGCCAACACGGTCGACGAGTAGAGAGAACCAGAGAGAAGGGAACGAGACTGACGATGAGACTCATTTGGTCCAAAAATGTGTCAAAGATTGAGGAAAGAAGATGAGAAAAAGAACCCAGAGACGGAGATTGAGGGACTTGTACTTAAAAAAAACCCTACAATCTGGTGATAGAGAAGAAGCCGACTGACAGAAAAGGAAGAGAAGTCGACAGACAGCAGAAGAAGTATAGAGATAGCAGAAGCTCATATCATTTCGGTGTTTTTAAAAAAAAAAAACACAAAGTGCAGAAGACAACATAGAAAAATATAGAGCTTGAGAAAGTTATGGAAGATTTGAACAAAAACAGAACATGATCAAGAACTGTGAAAAAGGAGTAAAGAAGATCATATTATGTATTCATGGAAGAAGATGAGGAATACAGAGGGAAAAAGATTGAAGAAGAAACCCATAAAGAGAAACTTGATTTGATGAAAAATGAAGATGGGAAATTTTGTCGAACATTTGGAGGGCAACATTTTCATCTGACTTTTGGTAGAAAAAAAAAAAAAAACTAAACCAAAATCAAACAGAACAGATGAAAAATAAAGACGAATCACTGGTGCTACCGGTCTGAGATAAGACCATCACCTTCATCGTCATCATCTGCATCTCTCGTTTCATCCATACGAGATACTTGAAAATTGATTTCAGAATAACAAAGAAAAATAAACCAAACCAAAGAAAATAGAAACTACAAAAGATTTTTAAGAAGAAACTGGAGAAAAAAAAAAAGAAAGGATCTTAGGCTCTTGATACCATTTTGATATTATAAAATAAAGAGAAAAGTTTCTGAAAATGTTTGTTGTTGTATTTCCATTGATCAAAGGGCAACTGCTTAAATACAAGAGGAAGAAAAGAAACACTTAATAAACCCTAACCTAACCAAACTAATTTAACCAAACTAACATTTAACTATAGTTATATTCTAATAACTCTAATAGCCACCACCTCCTCATCTCACTCCCTCGTTGCACCCTGATAAAACATATACGTACATATGTACGTTTTGTATGTATGTAATGTATACCTGCATGCGTATATTGTGTGTGCACATATATATATATATGTATGTGCTCACACGTGTTCATCTCAATGTCTCACGGGTGTGTTAGTTTCTTCTCGGTTTCGCTGTCTTGTGTACTTCACGTGCTTTAAGTGGACTTGTGAGTTTCTGTTTTGTCCTTTCTTTAATGAGAAGTGCTGTCTGAATCTACGTGACCACCAAGATATTAATTTTAGTATTTCCGATGGATTTTTAGATTGCTATATTTGATTAGCTTCATATGATATTTTCCCAAACAAATATAAACGTTTTTCTTTGATTTTTTTTTATTGAGTTTTTTTTCAAAAAAAAAAATCTTGAACAGTTTGTCTCCTGGAATTGTTGTATTTTTCTAGAGTTTCAAACTTTTTGGCCAATCTTTTTTAACTAAAATGTTAAATGATAAGAACAACCTAATGATGATCGAAACACATGAATAGAGAATAAAAAAAAATTTATAACAGAAGATAAATTAAATATTCTATACATGTATAAATGTTTAAATTATAACAATAATAGTAACCAAATGTGTTTACGATTATACATGGTATGATTTACCGTGGTCATCTTGAAGGTATACCTATAATTTAATTATATGATATATATACCATATGATCATATACTCTCTCACCAAGCGTTGTGATTTCATTTTTGTTTGAATATTTCCAATTTGAACAATTAAAATTCATTCCCATTTATAAATGAAATCATCCGTCGGTTTGTTCCATTTCTTAACCATTCCTCTAATTTGCATATTCCTCACATTCCTATAATACCCTAACCATTTCTCATTTCCACTCGATATATCTGTTTTTTGATAATTTAAAAATTTATCGGACCTTTGATCCAAACTATATTTTTTATTGGACCGAGAAAATCCATTTGATAAAGGGCCTTTAGTCCAAACTATATTTTCCATTGGATTCAAAAAACCCACTTGAATGACCCAAATGAAGACTCGAAACTAGATTAAAAACGGTTTAACCTCATCTCATCCTCATTAATACCATCCAATCTTAATCAATATATCATATATTTAATATTATAATTATGGTAAAATACGATATAAACAATATTGCTAGCATACCCTAAAAAACTTTCCATTCAAGATTTTATTATAAAAAAATCTATAAACGAAAACTATCTTAGTCGTCGGTTTTGTCCAAATTTTATCTTTCATGGATCATTCCCGTTAACGTAGGCAGCATTTGGCGGCTTCCTCTTTATCCTTTTTGCTTTCTTACATCGAACTCCAACCCCTCCAAGGTCGCTCCTTTTTTAATCCTACCCTAATTATAATCCCTGTTTTCCTTTTTTCGTAAGGCAAAAAAAAAAAAAAAACTTGTTGATATATACGTTACAAATTCAAGTCAATCTACCCTCTTTCGTTTGGAATTTTGGCCCCTCGCGGAAGGTACCCCGT